CCCCACAGGCTGGAGCAAAGGCCTTTGCTAGAAACTTCCCTTTCCAGTCATTTTTCTCCTCTATACTCCCCTTTCCTCTAAAGTCAACCATCCTGGCCCACTTACACATTATTGGTGCACATGCACATGTGCGTGTGCTCATGAAGAAGAGTCTAGAAAGGCAGATATTCCACCTTGCTTATAAGTCCCTCTGAGAGCTCCCATATCCTAACCCTGTCAACCATTTATTTCCTTTGAATGCCTAGAAAAAAAGACTGTCTCTAATGGTTTCTCCTCAAGACACTGGCAGCCGCCTTCAGTAGCCGCAAGGTACCCAGTTGGCCTAGACCAAGTGCTGGAGAAAAATGGATCCCCAGCATCAGAAAAAAGGTCGGTTCCTGGCAGACCACATTCTCATTTCTTTTACTACTTAGACCTCATACCTACCACCCCAAGACCACCCACACTGCCCCTCACCCAGAGTAGCTTCCACTGCTGGTTGTGCAGTGGTCCACACTGCCCTCGGCCCAGCTCACCACACCACCAGTCCACCCAGGTGTCCACAGTGCCCATGTGTCTGGGCCGGCCACACCAAAAGAGATGGAGATGGGGGTGGGGAGGTAAGAAGGAAGGAAAGAGGAGCTCCTGGAGTCCCTCCTACCAAACACCTGTCTGCATCCCTCCATCCCAGGCTTCACAGTCTGCTGGAGCCTAGGGAGATCTGTGTGAGCCGGTGAGACAGAGAAAATGTGTGTGTGCATGTGTGTGTCCGTGCATCTCTCCCTCTGTCACTGGCTTGCTCGCACTCCTGCCTGCGCTTACTGCTCCAGGAGCTGTCTGGCAGGCTCTGAGAGGCTGTTGGATGGAATCCAGCTCTCCCTAGGAGGAAAGTGTAAACTTTATCAACTGCATTTACTTTAATGCAGGTTCCTGGGGCTGCTTTCCTCAGGCTTTCTTCTCTCCCCTTGTCTGCTCTGTCTCGGTCACATTTTATCTCTGCCCCTGTGTGCACCTAGACCTCACACACACACACACACACACACACACGCACACAAACGCACACACTACAGCCAGTACTCCTGAAAAAGAGGAAGCCTGGGGCAGGAGGAGAATGCGCAAGGTGTAAAAGCTCTGTTTAAAGGAGAAAGCCCTGGAAAGGCCCCGTGAGATGCCCACGCACTTGTCTCCAGTGGAGGGGAGCACAAAGGCCGCTTTGAGGCAGGCAGGTGGGTGCCTCAGGGAGGGAGGGAGGGATGCTGACATTTCGGGGGCTGGCAAAATTGGGAGCCACCTGGAGGCTGGGCCACGGGGCTCCAAGGAAGAGAGGAGAGAAGGCGAGGCCTCCACGCAGGTTGAGGTTTGTGAGGCCTCCCTTGTCTGGTGCTGTCAAGGTCAGCAGGTTCGGGTTCATCCAAGGGTCAGGATGGTTTGAATTACTGGCTCTGCGGCAACTCGGCTCTGAGGCTCGTGATCCAGGCCCAGCCCTCCCCCAATCCTCCTTGCCTTTCTACTCCCATGGGGCAGAATGGGGAGGGTCCCCTGAGGAAGGCAGGCAGGGGAGGGGTCCTTCCCTGGGCTCCAGGGCTCCTTTTTGTGTAGCCAGCAATGGTCGGGGAGGCTGCTGGGACCCACTGCTCTGACAGGCAGCAATCCTGGGTCTCCCCAGCCTACCTTCTCTCTAAGCCGCTTTTCCGAGGGGGCTGCCATGCCCCTGCCCTTCTCAGCTGCCTGCTGGCCTGCAGAGGAGGAGGCGCCCAGGGAGGTGAGCCCACAAGCAGCAAGGCCTGGGGGACAGCCTAGTGCCTGGCTCCTTCCTCCTGAGTCCAGAGCCTGTGCTTGCTTAGGGGAGAAGGGCAAAGCTGAGGCAGCGGATTTCTCCTTTGGTGCCCTTGCCAGGTGGGGGAAGGAAACGATGCCTACCTGCCATCGTAGGAAGGTAATTGCCAAGTGGAAGACTAGGAGTTGAAGATATATTCTGACAAGATGGGTGTGCACACACACCTGCACAGGAGTGTACAGATGCGGATGTGGGGAGGAGGACCTGAGGCCTTTGCTGGGAAAGTTGTAATACTGTGCTCTCCCCACCCCAGCGTCCAGTGGTGGAGCACACCTACGGCCCCCTCTACCGTGAATCTGTACATTCTCTCCTGGCGGGTGGGGTCGACCTATCTATTCTGACTTTTTGGCACTTCATGAAAAACAATACTCTTTTGTGCTAAATCTCAACATACTTCCTCAGACAACTATATGTAACTCTTTATCCACAACAGCATGAACTGGTTGGGAAACTAAGGTGGTTAACGATTTGGTTGCAGTCTGATAGAAACACAGGGATTTATGTACAAATTCATGCACCTGTGTCAGCTCCACACAGCATGGTTACAGCCTGGTATTTCTCCACAGAAAAAAGTAAGTCCATGTGTGCACAGGGCCCAAGGTAAAGGTCTTCATAAAACATGGACATAACCTACACTTACCTCTGCATAATGACATGGTCAGTATTCAACAGGCTCATGGCCAATATCACCTAGAGAGTTTGGCTAAAATATGCGATCCAACTAAGATAGAAAAATTCCTCCCTCAGGTATGAACGGTCTAATTTCCCAGGTTACTAGGAAGATAGAATCATAACAATGAATGCGTGTTCATAAGTGGATTTTTTTTTTTGGCGTCTTAGGGAATGCTGACCTTTGAACCTTAGCTCTTTCTTGAACTGGAGTGGACATTAGCCAGGTTTTGAATATTTGTTGGAAATTGAACATAGGCTGAGCTTTGCTAATACAGTCAAACTCAGGCACTTGTCTGGACAGATGTAGATCTGGTTTCTGGACTTTCATAGGACTTGCCTCATGAAGGGCAGTATGTGACCTGTGCTAGGTAGGATAGTGTGTGTGAAATCATATAATTCCAGCCACTATCCACAGAGTTCCTCTCTTCAGAGAAATGCAAACTCTGCTTGGCTTCCCTCTGCCAATATAACATTTTCTTTCAGAGCCTGGCCAGGGCCTGGAGGAGAGTGAAGGCAGAAAGAGGATCTGCGGGTCCCTGTCCACGGTGTATGCTCACTTTAGAGCTCGGAGAGCACACCATTCCCAGGGCCACACTCCTGGGTGGGTATTCTCTGAGAAGGGAATTGGATGGCTGAGATGTATGTGTAAGGATCAGGTGGTAAACAGACATAACTGTGCCCAACTGCTGGGTTTAGGTTAAGGAGTCAGTGCAACCTCGTTTTATTTACACAACATAGTGCAACCTCACTGTGTCTTCTAGGCCCTCCTCAGCACCCCTGCCAGCTCCTTCAGGCTGAATCCTGTCCCACTAAAATGGTGTGTACTCAGCGAAACTTCCCCAAGCTCTTCCCAGGCAGGGAGTGCTCAGATCCCTTTCTGCTTCTGCCAGCCCCCTGCTTCTGGACCAACAGGCATTGTGGGCCTGAGAGAATCACACTCCAGCTCCTGCCTCTGCCTCTGAATGACCGCCCATGCAAGCCTACCAAGGGGTGCTCACCTGCAGACTTCCCCCATCAGCCTCCTCCAGGACTGCAGGCTGCACCCAAAGTCCCAGGGCCTGGTGGCTGGGCAGTGGCAGCCTCTCCTCTTCCCAGGGGTCCTCCTTGCCTGCCTTTTCTGACACCAGCACTCTTCCTGCTGCCACTCCAGAAAGAGAGCGGGGAAGAGAGGCCGGGGACCAGGGCATGCCTGGTTTACATTAATGAGATACACTGAGTGTAATCCAGCCATGGAGGCAGCCTACAAAAGAAGGCTATCGCGGGCGGCCAGGAGCAGAGCTGCTCAGGTAATTGGTTTATCTATCTGGAAGCAGGGGGAGCAATCTCAGCACAGACAGACTAGCAGTAAAGTCTCTTCCTTAAGGCTATTTCCTTTGTCTTTTCAATTGCTTGCGCATCCATGGGAGAGAGGGAGAGAGTGTTAAAGAGAGAGGGAGAGGGAGAAATGTTAATTTGTGAATTAATGGCTTTTCTCAGCGGAATTGTAAATTCAAATGTCACCTCACACGGTGACACCACGGCTGGTCTGCTGAAGAAGCAATGATAAGATCCCCCACCTCCCTCGGTGCCCCTCCCTCCCCAAAGATAGCTGTGGAGTGGAACATGCTACTTTTAATTTGCAATAACAACACAACAGAGGTATGCAGTAATGACTGCCTTCTTCCACCCTCCTCCTGGCTTCCTTCCCCCCAGTCCAGTTGGTTCCCCATTTCCTCCCTCTCCACCTCTTTGCTCTTCTGAAACAACACCTCACTTTGCCCTGGCTGCCCCCCACCCCACCCCACCCCAGCCAGGGCCTGATCACATGGGGGGGTGCGCCTTTAGAATTGACGATGCTGCAACCCTCTCTTCTCCTTCAATAATCAGGGAATTAATGACCCTGAAGTTAAAGTGAGGCTGATACCGAGGCCCTGCCCAGCGTTGGGAAAAAGCCTTCATTGTTTTCAAGCAGGAGGCGGGCAGCAGTGAGGGAGATTCATGGATGGAGATTGAATATGCAATTTTCTTTCACCTTGCCAAGAGCTGCCCCTGGGCTGTGCCTGGCCTAAATTTTTCCTTTTACCATCTCTGCCTTATCCGGCCCTCCCACCTCCCTTCCATTCTTTCCAGAAAATTACCTTCAAAATTGATTTCCACTTTTACAAACAAATATAATGGGAACACAGGAAAAAACTTGGGCCGTGATGAATTAGGGCTGTCAGGTGCTTCCAGGTCTCCTTTGCTTTTGTTTTACTACCTGATCTGCTCTTTGTTTTTCCAAGGGCTGGAAAAAGTGCCCCCAACCACTGAGTGCTTGACCCTCCAGGCCACCGGGGCCTCAGCCCCCAAACCCAGCAGTGGCCCACGGCGGAAGTGATCCAGGCCCCAGACTCTGTTAGCCTCTTGGTTTCCCAGCCACCTCCTCCTCTTCCGCTCTCTGGCCCTTAGGAACCCACTCTCTGAATAGACTCTAACCACCACTCCCCAACTATTTCCCCTGACCCCCACACCATGTTCCCTCTGGCCCCCATACCTCTTAAAGTCCAGACCAGATGCAAACCTCCACCTCCTCTAACGTGGGCAGGATCAGTGTATACCTCGACTAGAGCAAATAAGAGATAGACGGACACTGAGAGATCCTGAAAGGTAGGTAGGTAGAAGACCTGGGAGCAAAACTCTGAGATTGGGAGACCAGGCTCCTCTTCAAAGGGCTGCGGGGGTCCCAGGCAGCATCTCTCACAGCCTGAGGGTGTAAGGGTTCCCAGCTTCCGGCTCCCTGGCCTTGGGATCCAGGCCACCCCTGGAGGCAGGCTCAGGACAGCCCATCTATTTGCCAACAGAATGCAAGTGAGGCCTATGGGGCCCTTTGGGCAAAACTCTATATGCATACTTGTGCCTCAGGACCATGGACCTTTAACACACTCAGGCCTAGCTTAGAGCTCTCTCCACTCACTGGCGCTGGTGGACATGCACCTGCTCACATCTGATCATCTCTTCAAAGTATATACACTACCCAGAAAACTGCATGCCTGCCCAATGCATGGCCTTCCACATCCTCTCTCACCCAAAGATCTCAGAATGGTAGAAAATACACACATACACACATTCGCATAAACCATGTAGAAAATTACATATATGTCCATAAAACAAGCATACATTTCCCAAGGTAAATAAATAAAGTTGCATGTGGGAGCAGAAATGCACTGCAATGGATAGAGGGAGGGGTGCCTCCTTGTTAGTTCAGAAGGGGTCCTATATTTATTTACATACATCTAAAATGTTGGTCGATGCTAAGAGATATGTGGCCCAACCAAAAAACCCAGAGCAAATGAGTAAGCAGAAGTGAGCAAGGGTCATCCCAATCTCCCAGGGGAGGCTGACATGTTCCCCCACTGCCCTCGTCCCATCCAGGTTAGCTTATCCCAGCGTCAACTTCCCTAGGCTGCCCTACTTGAAAGGAGCTGCGCCAAGGTTAGGGAGCCTGTGCCCAAATAAGTTTCTTTCTGACACGACTTCATTTCCCCTCGAAACATAAACCTGCCAGTTAGGCCTTCCTTCCTAAACACACAAGGACCCATCTTCCAAGACAGAGTTGGCTCAACACTCTACATCCATGATCTCATGTAGTCCTCTCCACAGTTCCTGTGAAGTAAGTGCTGTTACCATCTCCATTTTACAGAGAAGACTGAGCTCGTGAAGGGTAAGTGACTTGCCCAAGGCACTGAGATTGAAACCCGGCTGTGCCTCACTCCAGAGCCCACACCCTTCCCCACTGGGCCACCCTGCCCACCTGTGCTGCGCTCCAGGGACTGCCTGCTGGCCTCCACCCTGGTGGGGTCTTTGCAGCCTTCTCCTGCCTGAAGCCAGGGCTCCCAGACAGGGCAGGTGCTGCTCATTTCCACAGCCTAATCCCTCATTCGCTCCAAGTCTAACCTGAGCAACACACACTCCAGGACTTCTAGGAGGGAAACTAACTAACTAACTAACTAAGGAACTAAACCGCTTCTTCCAGTTACGGCTTCATCCAAAGCAGAAGGGAGCTATTAAAGGCAGCGACAGGACTCAGCCATTGCAGCCGTGCAACCTGCCCTGCCTGCAAATGCACAACTGCACCGGTTTGGCACCACTCAACTGCACAATTCATTGTGCACCTAATTAATGGAATGCAGAATCCCAGCCCCCTGCAATCCCACACATCAAAGGATGATACCAACACAACTCCTCTCACACATACCAACAGACTCACACCATATGACTTCATTTGGATTTTTGGACAAGTTATGTAAGTGCTCTGTGCTTCAACAACACCGATGGACAGCAATGCTTTGGGCCACAGCTGAAAGCAACTGGGTAAAGGCAAAGGACTTTGGTTGTTCAGCCTGAAAAAAAATACAAGAATCTCTATTCTCCAGCCATGTAAGCCAGTGCATGCAACATTCAGGGAAGCAGCATCCCTTCAAAGGACCCTAATATACCAACCAATAATTGTAGCCAAAAAGAGGTAAAGATTTTAGCAGAGTACTGAATGGGGATTTATGCTCTCGGACTGATGGACAGCCTGTCTTCCGGGTGCTTCGTGACATAACTTCCTCATCTACCCCTGGTCTGTCACCTGTCTCATTCTGGGAGCTCCTGGACTCCTGGGGGTGGGGGTGTCAAAGCTTCACGACTAGCACATTTCTCAGAGGAAAGTCTGGGGAGTTTTCCATACTTCCAAAGGCCAAGGCATGAGAAAGCATCTCAAGCAGGCTCACAGTCACTGTCAGGTACCTGTTTCCCCAGAGTCACGGCTGATCAGCCCTTTACTAATACCCCACAGATCTGATTGCTGCTGATACTAATAACGCTGTCCATATTCCGAGTGCCAATGCCAATAACGCTCTGGGTATTATCACTGCAAACACCAATAACTGCCGCTGAGATTGTCTCCATAATGCCAGCACACGCTGCCGTGATTGTCCTCGCTAATGCCCACCACCGTGACATTGTTAGAGCTGAAGAATAGGCCGAACTGTACCCAGAGGCAGGAGCGGGAACAGCCTGCTTGAGGATAGAGAGGTTCACAGCTTGCCCTCGGGGTATGACACTTCTAGGGAGATGCCATAGTGTGTGGGGCCAAAGGAGGGCCAGCCTGGCCTGGGCAGCAGGGTCCTCCTGGAGGGAGACATGCCCCTCCACTCCCTGGAGGTCTAGTCCTCCGATGTGTGTCCCCGTTCCCATCCCAGCGCCCCTCAGTGCCCAAGTCAGCTTTCTTTTGTGCCTGCGGCGCTGGCGCAGTAGCTGAAGGACACACCTGCGTGTCTGTGCAGCCCATGCCCGAGGCTGCCTCCTGCAACCAGCCTGCCAGCCGCTTTGCTACCTTGGCCTGACTGCAGAGTTGGGCTACATCATCTTGACACATAATTATCTCCCCTATTCTTAATCATCTGAGCTGCTCCCTAATGCAAACTGGGCCTGGCTGCTTGGAGGCACCCAGAGTGGCCGGGGGCGGGGGGCTGGGGAGGACAGGCTGTGAAAGGTCTGCCTTTGCTCTCGCCTTTCCTTTCCTCTCCCTTCCCACCTGGGTCTGATGGATCAGGAGTGTGGTGGTGGTGGGGCGGGTGGGCAGGAGGGGAGAGGGATCTGGGAGAACTGGCCTCTCTCATAGTTCTGGCCTCCACAAGGGAGGGGCTGGTCAAGAGGAGGGGAGAGTCAGAGCAACAGAACCACCCCCCAAAAGAGAAGTCGGGCCTCTGATCCTTCTTGCCACCTGGCTAGGCCCAGCAGGGAAGTGTTTAAGCAGTAAGAGGAAACTTAAGAGGCCCCCATTGTCCCTCACCTAGAAGACTCCAACTGCTTCCTGAGATGTCTCCCTGCTGCCATCATTATCACCCTGCTGGAGGATGGTCTTCTCAAACCCAGCCCTGCTCTTTTCCCTTCCTACTCAGACACTTTCAGTGGCTACTCATACCTGCAGACAAAAGTCTAAACTCCATATATGGTCCAGTCTTGGCCTGATCTCCTGTGACCCTGACCCATCCACTTAGCCTGACCTCCCATGACTTCCCCTCATGCCTTTATCCCAGCCAAAGCGCCCCTGCATTTTCTCACTACAGTACCTTCTGGTCACAAGGCCAGTCTATCAGATAGAATTTCACACTACCATTGTCTGTTTTTTGAGGAAGATTAGCCCTGAGCTAACATCTGTTGCCAATCCTCCTCCTTTTGCTAAGGAAGACTGGCCCTGGCTAACATCTGTGCCCATCTTCCTCTACTTTATATGGGATGCTGCCACAGCATGGCTTGATAAGTGGTGCATCAGTCCGCACCCAGGATCCGAACCTGCGAACCCCGGGCCGCTGAGGTGGAGTGCACGAACTTGACCCGCTATGCCATTAGGTGGGCCCCTACCATTGTCTTTGAACATGCCCCTCATCCATCCCTCAGGCCACCCCTCAAATTGCAGCCTTTCTGGAGGGTTACTCCCTCCCCACTCTGAGCTCCCATGGCCTGCAGCCCAGACCTCCATCATAACACAGATATCTGATGGGCCTTTCTGCTTTCTGGGCTCACATGTTTTACACGCCCCACTAGACGGTAAGCTCCTTAAGGACAAGAATCATATCTTGTTCTGCTTTGGGATCCTATAGCACCAAGCCTTTCTTGCAACTGATGGACAGGAAGGGTTCACTGAATTGAATTGACTCGAAACAATGAATGTGATCAATTGCTCAGAGAGGAGAGCGCTCTGTTCTGGGCCAGCTGGGCCCAACCCAGGGTGGCCATAGCCTCATGCCGGTGCCTCCCTACCTGGGCCTCCTTTCACGGCTCATAGAAGCCCAGGAAGCAGAGGACATGCTTGGGCCCAACTGCAGACCAATGAGAGAGAGCACAGAGGGGGTCTGGTGGCCTTCCCTGGACCCCTGGACACCTCACACTCTAAAAAATGCAGGGGCTGGTGGCTAAAGGAGAAACCCTTAGGGTCTGGGGCAGAATCTTCCAAATCACTCAGGGTGCCAGGGTGCTTGGCTGAAGTCTGAGTGTGGGAAACCCCCAGGGAGAATTGGGACTTCAGGCCTTTATGCAGCCTCCCCCTGCCCATCAGGGGCTGCCGCCAAAACAACCACAATGAAATTTAGTGAGTGGCAAAGGCTGTGGCAGCCAAATGGGTTTGGATATTTTGGAAGAAGGAGAAATAGAGCCAGACAAGCTGTTTTCCTGTGAAACGAGGCCATTAGGGCTTCTGGAAGGAGGCCAGTGCCAGGTCATCACTGTCTTGCCAGACCCAGGCCTCTCCTGCACTCTGTCCCTTCTGCTGGAGGCCAGGGCTCTCACATTCCCTTTTCCCTCAGCCTGGGCTCAGGGAATCTCAGCTTTGTCCCTTTTTTTCTGTTCCTTACCCTCTAAAGCTGCCTCAATCAAGGGCTTGTCTATGCTTAGGATGACCATATGATTTATTGTCCAAAGGGACATTTTTGAGAGAAAAAGGAGATGCTGACTGGTCAAGATGCAGGGACAAAAGGCATAACTTGGGGCTGGCCTGGACTAACGGGATGCATGGTCACCCCCTTTACACTTATCTTTAGAGGATCCTGTCTATTTCATGGGCGATACCCTTAAAATCATATGCCCTCCCTAGAGCAGGAGGTTACTGCTTCCCCCGCAGGGCCCATGAGATTGGGGCAGGAAGCAGGCTCCAGACACTGGTGTCTCCATTTGTCTGGGCCTGCCAGCCCTGCGCCCTGGCCTCGTGCATCGGAAGAGAACCAGATGGTCACCAAGGGACCCCTAATACCACATTTGAAAAACACCTTCTCCCAAGCTCATTGCCACCACTCTCTCCTCTTACTTCTTTTCCCCTCTCCCCCTCCTCCCACTTCCCTCTCCCTTTAACTGTGTGCCTAACAGCTGGCTGCACCTTGAGGAATTACAGGGAATGAGGGGAAGGGCCAGAGAGGAGCCTGAATGGTGTCTCCTCCCATGGAGAAGAAGAGTAGAGAGGGGCCCATGTCCAGCAAACTGAGTGATTATAATGGGCATAATATCCACATGTCACTAGGGTCAGCTGTACGTGACATCACTCCCCCATCTCCTGATGGGCTGGGATCAGGTGAGGACAAGGCAAGTTGGCCTTTCATTCTCGGGTCAGAGACCAGCTGCTCCCCTACCTCCAAAACCTTCCCAAGGTACATGGTTCATGCTTCTCCTCCCGGCATCCCACTGGGATATTCAGGGTAAGTCCCAGCGGAAGATGAGGCACTCGGGGCTGCTGAGCAGATGGTGAAGCTGATGGCCCCACCAGCAGCCTGCTTCCCTCTCTCCAGGAGCCAGCAGGGCAGTGGGGGGACCTGGGCTTTGCTACTAAAATTGATCTCACAGCAGAGCAGCTGCGAGGCCCGGCCGAAACCGGAGCTCTGAGTCCAAGGACAAAGCATGCACAGGGGAAGCCAAGCCTCTTTCCTCCTCCTTACCTTCATCACGTTTCCTCTTCTCGCCATTGGAGCGAGGGATCCCCAGGATCCCGTTGATGGAGTAGGATCCCACTGGATCATTGGAGGCAGTGGAAACAGGAGGGGAGGCCGTGCTGGGAACTGGATGAGAGTAAGGAGAAAATGCCGTCAGGAGAGTAGCTGTGAGTGCAGGCCAAAGCCCCAAGGCTGGGGGCAGAGAGAAGCAGAGGACATCAGGAGGGATGGGGAGCCCACATCCCCTTCATCCTCCGAGGTTTAGGGGAGAAGGAGTTGCTATATATAGTGCAGACTATTCACTTCTGTCCAGCTGAGTGGCGATTAGTCAGCCCCAGGCCTTCTCTGCAGACCTATAGATTTTACTGAGGCCCTTGAACTCACTTCCCTGAAGATGGATGGAAACACTAAAGCTGACTGAATCTAGAAAGTGACTCGGCAGTCCTGTAGAGAGAACAGCTCGTAGGATGCCTCCTTGCACAGCTTGTCTAATCTCTGGAGGCAGGGCAAATCCTTCGAAACAAACCCCAGCTCATTGTCTCTCAGTCTCCCCGGCTGAGTCTTTATCAGCCCTGATTTAGAGTCTGTGGCTTTCTAAGATCTGTCTCTGATTCTCTAAGAGACACAAGAATGGTCCTGATAGTCCCCAGGAGTGCTTAGCTCCTCTTTCCCAGTTGCTTCTGGTCTTGAAATCACTTGAGAAGTTCCTAATTTCCCCTCAGGGCACAGGCTAGTGAACACATTCACTCCATGGTGATCGACTCAGGTACAGCCTGGCCCAACCCTCTCTCCTGGCACACGCTGTAACACAGGCCCTGTAAACAACAGCCCCTGCCAACTCCAGGAGGGCTGGGACCAGCCATTTCTACTTCCTGCTGGTCAAGAGAGAAGGGAACAGCTGCCAAGAGGGACAGCTGGATAAGTTTAAACATATCCCGGCCCCTCAAACCCCAGGCCTCATCTATGGCTGTAGCAGCACCAAGCGCCTTGGGCCAAAAGGAAGACAGTATATGTGTGTAGGGGCTGTTGCAGGTGTTCTGGTAGGCCTGGGTCATATCTCTGAGAGGCCATGAGGAAGGCTCAGTAAATAAGGAGGTCGGAGAAAGGCAGAGAGTTACCGAGGACATGAGAGAGAGACAAAGAGATCAAGAGAGACAGGCCAAGAGGAGGGAAGGAGAGAAACAGAACAGATCTGGAGCCACACATGCAGAGAGAAGAAAAGCGAAAGGGAAAGGCAGAGAGAGGAAGGAGGAGGAGGGGAGACGGGAGAGAAGGGGAGAAGAGAGAAGGCTAATTTTAAAATTAGGAAAACAAAAATGGAGTAAGAAAGTAGATATGAAAGAGGGAGAGACAGGTAGGGAGACAGAATTAGATAAAAACAAAAGATGGAGAAGGAGGCAGAAGGGAAGGAGAAGAGCTAAAGAAAAAATATTGATTGAGAAAGAGGGGAGAGAGACAGAGAGAAAGCGAGAGAGAGGTGAGACACAGACTGACAAGGCAAGGCAGCCTCACGGCTGAGGCAAGAACCGAGCCTCTAGGGGCTCAGGGAGAGCATGTATTGGGAAAATGGCCAGGCCTTGGACCTCAGACAGGCGGGCGGTGGGCATTTCCCGGGGGTGGAGCCGAGTTTCCCAGGTGTCCTACGTGGGGCCCAGCTTCCTCCCTTCCCTGAGCCCTCTTACCAATGGTGTGGCCAGGGGCAGTCACTCCCGTCCCAGCCCCATCTGGCGTTGGGTGGAAAGGCTGCTGAACTTTGGTCCGGATGATCCTGCAACAGCATCGCAACAGCATCACCCATCACATGCCCTCTCCTGCCCCAGCCAGCTCCAGCCCAGCCCTGCAGAGGAACTCTTCCAAGCTCCTCAGCTCCCCCCTCACCCCTCTGCTCCCTGCACCCCTGCCCTCACTGATGGCTGCAAGGCACAAGATTTCCCTCCTGTGGGCTCTGTGGCTCCAGCCTAGCGCAGCTCTGGGTGGAGGCAGTCTGCATTCTGCCCTGCCGTGTGCATCGTCCGAATTGCAGCGTGATTTCTGGTAGCAAAGATCGGTGCGGCAGAGCAAGTGGAGCACAGCTTCCTTCCCCTTTCGGGGGGTGGGAACTGCCCTGGTGACTTGCTGTCCACCATTGCCTCCTCAACCACACACATCTCCTCCTGGGAACAGGACTGCCTGGGTCTGGAGATTGTTTTGGAGCTGGATCTCCGATTGGGACTGTATTACAGTCCTCCAGAGCCAAGGGAGGGGGTGAGATGTCCCCATTTCCTGCGCTAAAGAGAAGACAGCTAGGGATGGCCTGGGTCACAGGTGACCCTTTGTCCCCAGTATTCCAACACAGCACATGTGGTCCCCTTGCCAGATGTCAGGCCCTGAACAACTTCCTGAGCCCACTTGGTACTCTCAAACAAGTCAGAGCCCTGTCCTGCTCACTGGCCCGATGGCCTCCTTTTCTGAGGTCTGACTTGGATCACAGCTTCTCTACCAGCCTAGGTGACAAGCCTGCTGCCCTCCCTGTGCACTCTGGGGGTGGGGGCTGGACCAAACATCCCAGGGCTGAGAGTGAGCCTGTTTGTCAATGATCTGAAGGACCCAGGGCTCAGTGATACAAAAGACCAACCCTGGGGCCAGGACTGAGGAACACTCCCCTCCACCCACTGGTCAAATTAGGTGCCCCTGAGAGCAACTCTTCCGAGGGTGTTGCTCCTCTCCGTGGAGAGGTGTGTGAGCCAAGTTCACCTCAATCGGCCAGGTGAGTCACAAGCCATGAGTGGACTTGAGCACTCGCAGAGGCAATAGAGATAAGGCCCCTGCCTCACAGTGCTGGGGAAGGAAGATACCCACCCAAAGAAAGCTAGGTAACACCAACGGGTCAGGCAGTAACTGCTGGAAGGAGGCAGAGGAGGAACCATCTGCCTTGCAGGTGAGGGAATTGGGAAAGAAGTCACTGAGGAGGCAGAACTTGATGTAGATCTTCAAAGCAGAGTAGGGCTGAACAGATATAGAGATAGAGATAGAGATAGAGATAGAGATAGAGATAGAGATAGAGATAGACATAGAGATAGACATAGAGATAGAGATAGAGATAGATAGAGATAGAGATAGAGATAGAGATAGAGATAGAGATAGAGATAGAGATAGAGATAGAGATAGAGATAGAGATGGACATATAGGAACCAGAGGCACAGAGGGTAGTGGAGAGGGCACCGGGCTGCATGGAAGGGGCCCTGAGTCCAACTGCTGACTCTGCCGTTAAGTAGCCACATAGCTTTGGCCTCATCATTCTACTTCTCCAGGCCTCAGTTTCTTTAGGCGTAAAGTAAAGAGGCTGGACTACAGGATCTCTCAGGTCTCTTTCCCCAGTAAAAAGCAATATGATTCTAAGATGAACAAAGAAGCAGTGGGGAGCGCGTTATAAGCAGGTGCTGGAGGAGGGTAGAAGCAGAGCATGGACGCCGAGTGAGTGAGCTGTGTTATGGGTTAATGCCTAGGCCGGTCAGCCAGAACGGTGGGGGAGTGTAAAGGAGTAAGAGGAAGTAATGCTGCAAACTTGAAAGTGATGATGATCAGAGTGATTTTTCCACTTATCGAGCATCTATTATGTGCCAATATTATATGCAATTTATATGACATATATACTACTGTTAATTCTCACAACCACCTCAAAAGTAAATGCCATCATCCTCATTTTTCAGATTGAAAACCAGGGCTGGCAGAGGTTAAGTAGCTTACTTGGGATCACACTGCCAGTTAGAGGAGAGTTAGAATTCAGTCTCTAAAATGTGTGCTTTTTGTTACTTTGTCATACTCCCCCCAACATATAGGAACCAAGTGTAGAGAGTCTCAAGCCATGAGCGATTTCTAAACTCGACGGATGTGTACAAACTGATCCTGGGAAAGCAACACACAGGCATGAGGGGGTCAGGGGCTGGTCTCAGGAAAGAAAGAGAAGAATCTGCAAGTCATTGTGAAGGCAGAATGGGCCGGATTTGGCAACTAACTGGAGTCAACCATGGCTCTAAAATCCCAATTCTGTTAACTGGAAGGCTGGTGGTTTGCACCACTGTTAGGAAGAGGGATGCAGGGAGGTGACTGTTTTTGTCCTAGATTTGCAGCGTTTGCAGTGGTAGGGGAGCAGCCAGGTGGGCATGGCCATGTACAGCAGATACAGATTTAGGAGATTGTCAGGGAAAGGAGTGTTGACAGGGACAAGAGGTCTAAGGAGAGGATATTGGAGGACACCTACTTTCAGAGGCTGGGAAAAGAACCTGACCTTGCAGAGGGGTCAGAATTGGTCATACAGGAAATGGCAGAACCAGGATTGGCATTTGAAGGGAATTGGGAATAGGAAGAGGCACAGATTTGGGAATTCTGGTGACCACTAGTGACCTTGGAGAGAGCAGTCTCAACAAAGCAACTGAGGCAGGAGCCAGACAGAAAGAGGTTAGGGAGTGAATAGGAGGAGAGGGAGGCAGTGAAAGTAGACTACTGGCTTCAAAAATTTGTAGAAAAGGAAAGAACAGGCAAGTATGGAAGCTGGAGGATGGAACTGGCAGCTGACTGGCGAGAAGGCTATTTAGGGTAGGAAAGAGGTGGATTTAAGTTTGTAGGCTGAGGAGGAAGAATCAGGGAAGAGGGAGAGACTGAAGCGGGCTGAGAGAATGTAGATGATTGCGAGAGAAAGGCAGAACAAGGAGAGAACGGAACGCAGGGCACAGGGGAGCAGCTAGCAGGAGATGGCATAGTTTGAGATGGCCAAAAGCTTCAAAAAGGAGCTTTTACAGCTTTTGTCTGTTAACAAAGAAGAAGGTAAGGTCATCTCCCAAGAGTTGCGGGGAAGGTTTGGAGAGTGATCACAAAGGGAAAGACCAGACAGTAGCTAAGGGCAGTGTAGACGGGTCTACATGAAAAGTCTAGAAGGAGGCTGAGCATCTCAGAGCAGCTGCCCCTAATCCACTGCGGCAAAAGCTTCTGGGGTCTCGCTGGGCCTGTGGGTGGCTCTGGCTTGAGGGCTGATGGGCTCTGGACTAAGGGAGCCCCAGGGCAGGGGCTGGGTGAGACGGACAACTGGATGGCCTTGTGGCGTTTCTGTCTTTGTTACCCAGAGCCTCTGAGCCCTGGGGTGCCGGTGCAGATTTAGCTGAGGTAGCAAGTGATGGAAAATCACTACTCCCTGACAGCGGCTTGGTGGTGCATGGGAGAGGAGTTGGGCAGGGTGCCCGCCGCAAGTCACTAATGGTCTTGGTGTCCATCCATGCCCCCCAGGCAGTGGGCACTTGCCAGTCCCCAGAGTTGATCTCAGGGAATTTAAGAACTGGGATTGTGGAAACCAGATGGTCATCCATTGCCCTCTTGCATCCCATACACAACCCGGCAGCTCATGGGAAGAACACTAGGGGTTAAAAGGATAAAGTAAAGCAGTTGCTTTGGGTGACTGCCTGATACTATTTCCCCTGGTTCCTCTTCCTCCTCCTCCAATTCTTTTTCGTTCTTGGCCCCACAAGCCAGCCAGACACATCTATGGTCTCCACGGCCCCAGACAGGTTTGGCTTGGAAAGTCAAGTCCCGGGACATGAATCCTTGGTGGGTGCAGTTGGGAGCCCTGGAAGGCACATCTCTACTGGGGACTGGGAGGTGCCATTTCCTGTTTCCATGGAATGCCTGCCTTGCCAGGGTGCCTGCTCCCCACTTCTCTCTCCAGCATGCTTTCCTTCACAGGAGTGCTCCTTCTCCCCCACCTTTCCTGAACCTCCAGGGCTTTGCCTGGGCCCAGCCTGGGCACTTCAGGCACTTGGTGTCTCTGACACTCACAAGGGTGTGAGCAGAGCAAAGGCACGAAGGGGCTGGTTCTGGGCTCCGTCTGCCTCAGTCTGAGTCCCAGCTCTGTTACTTATCGCCCGGGAAACCCTTTGTGGTTTCTTATTCCCTCATCTGTAAAATGAGATAATAATACTATCCACTTCCCAGGACTGTTGTGAGGATTAAATAGGATAATCCACGTAAAATGATTAGTATGATGCTTGGCTCAGTAAATGCTGGCTATGATAATAGCTACTAATGTTATTATTCCTATGGGTGACCCCTAGGCCTGGCTGCTTTCTGTGTAGGGGCTGAGCCAGGTGCAGGTAGGAGGCCTCTCACCCAATATGCCCCAGCCTGGTCAATGAAGCTGCTACGGAGACCCTGGGGAGATCGTTGAGAAGACAGGAAACAGCAGCAGCAGGTATCACAGTCTGACCCAAAAACAGGTGCATCAGACAGACTGTCGGGAAGACAGACTGGGGACCTCAGCCTTGGGGGCACAGGGGAGGAGCCACAGACAGTACAAGCAGCAGCTCCTTCAGGACCCAAGAGATGCCAGGGGCCTGGGGCAGAGCTTTAGAATGAAGGATGACAAGGCAGGTGAAGTCACTCCCTCTTTGGTTAAATTCCCAGGAGGCCTCCACCTCCCACCAAGCTGAAGATCCAAACAGTCTCATCAGCTCTGTGAGTTAGAATGAAAGCATGTAATGAGTCTCCTATTAACAGTTTGTTCAACTCGTGAGGAAACAGAGCCGCTCCCAACATTCTAAGAAAGCACTAGGGAGAGTCTTACTCCCCTTCTGGTTCTGCTCCCTCTCCCTCTGCCTGCTCCTCTGATTCCTCCCTCCGCGTTTCATTTCATTCTCTGTCTCTCTCTCCCCTCTGTCTTTCTCTGCCCCTCTTTCCGTCTCCCCTCTCTTTGTCTGTCTGTCTGTCTCCGTGCACCCTCAAGTCCCACTGTGCCTATGTGAG